TTTATTATCACCATATTGCAAAGTGATAGGCACCACCAAATGAGGATGTTGAGTCATCATACCTTCTTCACCCTGAGCCAGAGAAAACAAGGGTTGTGTGACAGAATCCAGTTGGTCTGAAATCTGGGATTGATGTTGAATCTGTGCACCCTCAGCAGTCATAGCTATTGTTCTTTTAGACTTGTTAGGGCAATTGATGGCATAATGCCCTGCACTACCACAATACAGGCATAAGTTGTGAGTGCGTCGCCACTGTTTTTCTTCATTGGATAATGGCCCTCTTATTAGATCTACCTGCATAGCCTCAGGTTCAGAGTCTGTAGGTGTTTGTGGGGTCGGAGTAGAAATTCTTGAATAGAAAGTAGGAGTAGCACTTGGTTTAAAAGAGCCCTGTCTTTCCAATCTTCTTTCTGAAAGTCTCCGATCAATACGGATAGCCAACCGCACAAATGCATCAAACTCAACATGAAGATCAACACGAGCTAGCTCATCTTTTATAGCTTCTGAGAGACCCCTTCTGAAGTGGAACCTCTGGGCTGATTGGTTCCAAGTAGTATCAGTAACCCACTGTCTGAATTCAGCAGCATATTCAGCCACAGAGCGCCTCCCTTGATGTAAATGAAGGAGAGTGGCTTCTGCTGTAGCACAGCGATTGGGATCATCAAAAACTAGGCACATGGCCTCAAGAAAGTCTTTTAAATTTCCCAAGACTGGACTGTCCTGTTCCAGAAAAGGGGAGCCCCAGGCCAGGGCTTCATCTTTGAAGAGGGAAAAAATAAATCCCACCTTCTCTCTTTCAGATGGAAAACGGTTAGGTAACATCATGAAATGCAAACGGCATTGATTTAGGAAACCCCTGAATTTTTTGCGGTCTCCTCCAAATTTTTCTGGTAGAGGCAAGCGGGCATCTTGTGCAGGTGTAACAGTAGTAGTAGCAGCAGCCGCAACATCATGTGCCCTGTAGCTGGTAAGCTCACTATGCATTGATCGAACTTCATTTTGCAGTTCAGCTACCTGATCCTGCAGCACTTGAATGGTCTGTGCCTGGGTCTGCATAGTTCTTGCATTAAAAGCAACCTGCTGGGCCAATGCAGAATCTGATCCGACGGTCTCCATGAATGGGTCAGATTATTCTGTAATGATAATGATGTTACAAGTTTTGGAATCCAGTAGTCAGATCAGCAATGTTTTCTGCCAGAGGTAGCCACTCGTTACCCAGGTGGTTGAGCCCCTGAGCCTTGAGTGACCTTCTGGTCTTAAGCAGAGATGGGAGACTGGAACAGAAAGATGATAATCGTAGTGAGGCAAGCCGAGGTCAGTGGGAAGGAGAAGCAGCAAAGTCAAAACAGTCCAAATTCAGCAACAGGAAGGAGAAACAGGAACACGCTTGATTAGAGAGTACAGGAACCACAATAATCTGGCAAAGGTACAGAGACAGGAAGTGGCTTTTATAGGCCAAGAACCAGACACCTGACCAGACACAGCTGAAGAGAGTTGTCACTGATAACCTTGACTCTACAAGCAATGGTATCAGATCTCAGGTAAATTTGCAAAAGGCAGGCTGGTGTACTGGTAAGGAAGAGGTTTAGCACCATGTAAACCAGGGTTCGAAACCCAGCAGAGTCAGTTCCTCACAGCTCCATTTTTTTGGGGCCCCTTACACAGCTCAAGGTCTGGGCCCCAGGGCCTGACGGTGAGTATGCCCATAAGATCCACCCATAAGTCCACCTACATGTTCCACCCATGAGTTCGCTCACAGGGAGTAGAGTGTGTAGGGGATGTGTTATGTGTTATTGTAGAGGATCTAATGTGTGGTCTCTACTCTCCTCCTCTCCCTTAGTGGTCTCCTTTTCTCCTCGACTTTCCATTAGTGGTCTCTCGTCTCCCCCTTAGTGGTCTCTGCTCTCCCCCCTTCCATTAGTGGTCTCTCCTCCCCCCACCCTCCCTTAGTGGTCTCTTCTCATCCCCCTCCCTTAGTGGTCTCTCCTCACCCACCCTCCCCTAGTGGTCTCGTCTGCACCCCCGTCCCTCCCATAGTGGTCTCTCCTCCACCTCCCCTCCTTCCCTTAGTGGTCTCTCCTCCACCTCTCCTCCTTCCCTTAGTGGTCTCTCCTCACCCACCCTCCCATAGTGGTCTCTCCTCACCCACCTAACCCTAGTGGTTTCTCCTCCACCCCCCTTCCTCCCTTAGTGGTCTCTGCTCTCCCCACACCCTCCCTTATGGTCTCCTCTCCCCCCACCCTCCTTTAGTTGTTCCCAGTTCCCTCCCCTCCCTAGGGTCTCTCCTCACCCCCTTAGTGGTCTCTCCTCTCCCCCACCCTCTCCTAGCGGTCTCTTCTCACACTCACCCACCCTCCCTGTGCTCTTCTCATCCCACCCTCCCTGTGTTCTTCTCACTCCCCCCTCCATATGTTCTCCTCACCCCCCCGTGTTCTTCTCCTCCTCTCCCTCCCTGTGTCCTCCTCACCACCCTGTGTGTTCTTCTCACCCTCACCCTCCCTGTGTTCTCCTCACCCCGTGTATTCTCCTCACCCTCTGTATGTTCTTCTCATCCCCGTGTGTTCTCCTCACCCTCCCCCTCCCTGTGTTCTCCTCACCCACCTGTGTGTTCTCCTCACCCTCACCCACCTGTGTGTTCTCCTCACCCTCACCCACCCTGTGTTCTCCTCACCCACACTGTTCCAGTGTTCTCCTCACCCCCCATGTGTTCTCCTCACCCCCTGTGTGTTCTCCTCACTCCCCTGTGTGTTCTCGTCACCCTCCCTTGTGTGTTCTCCTCACCCCCTGTGTGTTCTCATCACTATCCTCACCCCCTTGTGTGTTCTCCCTCACCCCCTTGTGTGTTCTCCTCACTCCCCCCCCTTGTGTGTGCTCCTCCTCCCCCCCTTGTGTGTTCTCCTCGACTCCCCTTCCCTGTGTAGCATGGCCGAGCTCCTCTCTGGTCCGCGCTACAGGATTTTCTGTTCACTCATTCCAAAAAGTCACAAACCATGCCCACAAACTTTGGATTTCATTCGTCATCAGCTCACGCCACTGGAAGATGCACAGGATATGCTTCAATGCATTCCAGCACGCCGACATACAGGCGGATCATCGCCTATCAATCCCAGCATATTTTAGAAGCATCCATGGTGATCAGAACTTATATTACTGAGGAAGTCCAAGCTGCAGGACGAAACGCGTTGGATATATTAAGGGCTTATATACTTTTATTTGTTTTTATATGTTGTTTTAATTTATTTTTTTTACTTTGGTTTATCTCCATCTGTGCCTGGTTTCCAGTACCACACTTCCATCTAAGGTCCACTTCATGTGGAGACATGCTCATTATCCTCATTGGTGTGTAAGTGCATTCTAATAAACTTCTCTTGTGTTTTTACTGTACTTCACCAGTGCGGCCTTTTCTTTTCTCCATATGAACTATCGAGAAGACTGTCCATATATGAGCGACATCTTGCAACTACATCTGTGTGTACCCCTGGGAGGGTGACAAGCCTGAATTTCCATATGTTTGTGAGTTTTTTTCATATACTTCATATTACATATTTTTTATACATTATTATGTTGTATTATTGACTTTTATAGATCCCAGTGCTTTCCAGGATCTTTCAATATCCTACCTTTTCCAGGTGGTTATAATTCTTTTTATACGTATTGGTGTTTTTCCTTCCTACTTCCCCTCAGTGTGCAGCAGTAAGAGCAGCGGATTGAGGCAGCATTTAGCCCTGCCCCAGCTGCCAATCTGGCTCCACCTCCACTGCCGATCTGGCTCTGCCCCCACTTTTCTTTGATGTTTTCTGCTGTATTCCCGGCATCTGTGAGTGTGAGCTGTGTCAGCCACCCGGTGCCCCTGCTGCCATGGTGCCCTGTGTATCCACACAGCTCACACAGCCATAATGAGATGGACTGATGTGACAGGTTTCTCTCTTCCTACTAGGATTGGAGGATTATCCCTCTCATTTTACCTCTTTCCTGTGCTATTTGAAAGTCGGAATAGGTAAAAACAGTTATCCATGTAACAGGATTTGTGTTTTTAACACTAGTGTGTACACTGTTTTGTATTGTCGTTGTGAATTGTTGATTAAGGGATTTGTAAATAAAGGTTAATTTTTATATGTAATACTTTAAGAATGCTGATGTAATTCTTCCTTATTTCTGGTCCTGGTGTTGTGGATTATGTCCTTTGAAAGTTTCCTTAGGGATATTTTATCTTTTCATAGGATAGTTACCCAAAAGGCCATTTACTGTGACATTTTGATCTTTATAGGTTAATAACCATAATAGTAGATATTTGCTAGTTGTGATTAGATACCCATGTTATACGCATGTTGTAACCTATTGTTTCTGTAAGTTTGTGTAATTGTCTCATTTATTGTTAAATGTCCCCCTTTGATAATATTGTAAAGCGGAATATGCTGGCGCTATATAAATACCAGTAATAATAATAATAATAATAATAATAATTCCCTACTTGTCTGTATGATTTTTCTATGCTGCCAGCTAGTTGAAAATTAGAATGTATAACAATGATTGACAGATAGCTAAGATGGAGGTGCTCAGTTGCAGGATTAAAAGGGACACTATAGTCACGAGAACAACTACAGCTATTGTATTTGTTCTGGCACGTATAATCATTCTCTGCAGCCTTTTTGCAGTAAACACTGTCTTTTCAGAGAAAATGCAGTGTTAACATTACAGCCTAGTGATAACTCCACTGGCCACTCTTCAGATGGCTGCTAGAGGTGCTTCCTGGGGAAGTGCTGCACAGTGTGTTATCTCCACCCTCTGCATAGAGACTCTGAACTTTCCTCATAGAGATGCATTGAGTCAATACATCTCTGTGAGGTGATGCTGATTGGCCAGGGCTGTGTTTGACTTGTGCTCAGGACTGCTGATGCACCATGAACCTCGATCACCCGTTGCCCAATAAACACTCAAGACATGCATTACTTTGGGTAAGGGCAATTGCCACAGCTTTATTTAATAACAACATAACCATGCCAGCATATTTTCTCTGTCAGCTGTTGGGGTGTTTCTTCAACAGACAGCTCTAATCCGTTATCCAAGAGTCCACGGAAGCCTGCCTCACCCCATCAGCTCCTGGCAGGCTGCGACTCCCCAAGCCACCTTGGCGTTTACATCTCTTGTATCTGAGCTGGCCAGGAAGAACCACCACAGCGATGCCAACCTAAATGGTGATTTTAACAATATAGGGTCAGGAATACATGTTTGTGTTCCTGACCCTATAGTGTTCCTTTAATACTTGTGGATTTCAAACTTAAATTTCATTTACACCTCTCATGTACATGTTTGTTAAATATAGACGATATATAACTATAATATTCAAAATCAAAGAAAGGAACAAGTGCTTAATTTTCTGTACACTGTGAACTATTTGTGGAAATGCAATGTTCTACTTTCTTTGCTATAATTGTGTATAATGCTACAGTAATTAATTGAGTAAATCTTTCAATTTCAGTGTAGAATCCTTAAGAAACAGATTGTTATAATGACATACACCAACATTGGTTCTTTAGGGGTTATTAGTTTCAATAGTATATCTGTTTGTAGGCAATTTATAATTTCATAGAGAATTACATAATTTTGTACATTGATGCTGTTAGTGGAGAAGTGATGATTATAAAATGCATTAAATGGTGTAGCCTGCTTTTCGAGTAAAACTAAAGTGTTCAGAAATAAGTAATCTTGTCTAAGTGAATCTAGTAATCAGTAAAGAATAACTAATTCAATCTCTTATATAATAGTATAACAATTGTGTGTGAATATGGATACTATCTGCATATTATAGAGCAGTTATTTGTTTCAGAGGGCTATGTATAATGCTGTATAGGGTATCCATTAACAACAACAAAAAAGCCATTTTGTTTTTATTGATTTTTATTGCTTGTCAATTTTCTACATAGAAGCATTCGGTGTGTAATGGAGTATTGACAGTCAAAGAAATGCATACTCAATGTAACTGCATTTTATTGTTCTTCACCTCCACACTGTCCTTGACCCCTGCCTTTCCCTCGTCCCTTTCCTTTACCTTTCCCTTTCCCCTTCCCCTTCCCCTTCCCTTTTCCTTTTCCCTTACACTTTCCCTTCCCATGTCCTTGTTCCCCTTCTTCTCCATTTTGCATTCCATGTTCCATTCCTCTGGGTGCCTCCTCTCCAAATCCGCCTTGATCAAAAAAGGACCTTTTTTGCCTAACGTGATCCTCTCTATTACCCTCACTATTCCCATTATTAGATGATTCAACATGTCCTTCTTTACGACACTTGTGCTCCTTTTTTTTCCCATGACCCTTACCATGTTCCTCTCCTTTTCCACGACCTCTACCTTGCTCCTCTCCTTTGCCACGACCCTTACCATGTTCCTCTCCTTTTCCATGACCTCTACCATGAGCCTCTCCTTTCCCATGACCCCTACCATGTTCCTCTCCTTTTCCATGACCTCTACCATGAGCCTCTCCTTTCCCATGACCCCTACCATGTTCCTCTCCTTTTCCTTGACCTCTACTGCTCTCTTCTCCTTTTCCACATCTCTTGCCGTGCTTTCCCCCCTTTTTTTGACCATCATCATGATTTTCTTCTAGCCCAAGGCCCTTCCCATGTTTGTGTCCCACTTCACGTCCTTTTCTCTTGCCTTGTTTTCGATTCTGTTCTCCATTATTTTCACCCAGTTCTTGTTCACTGTTATCCTTTTTTTGATAATTAACAAGGTCATAAAACTCTTCATCCGCTGAAAAAAAAAAAAAAAGGTTAATAAAATGAAAAATAATAGTTATTATGCTTAACTATTATTGGTTATTAATCCAGGTTATTTAATTTCTCCAACTGCCTGTCATAAAGCTGACTTACTTTAGTTGACATCATGCAAACAGTAATCATGTCCATACAGATTATAATCCAATCAGATAAAGTATAAACCAAGCATTCACAAGGAAAAATGAAGAGAAATAGACACATTAACTGTTCTTCATAATGTAGGTTTAATGCAAAGCTGTTGATATGTAATCCTAATAAAAAGTAGCCAGAGACAAACTAATGCATCATGAATATCAGAGTACATAAAAAATAAATAAAAAAAATCAGGATAACCAGAGTGCATACCAAGTTAAACATTATCTACCCCCCACCCCCCAACCCTCCTTGCTGACAATACAATACATCTTCTATCATACTTAGGGGTTTACAAAGTAAAAAATTAATAGTGATGACATCAAGAGATTGGTGCCATCAGAACATGAGGATGCCTCAAACTCTTTGTTTGATGCTGCAGAATGTGTGACCATAGAAGAGGCATTAATTAACACAGGGGAGCAATATCCAGCTTTAGAATTTCTGTGGACTGTTTCATGGCTTTGATTTTAGAGCTCAACTGGTTTTCTTTTTCTTCTACACTCTGTTCCTGTTTATTTGCAGGCAACCTGTCACACTCTAGTCCTTCACTAGAGTGGGACAGGTATATACAAAAATGTGCACATCCTTGCACCTGGGTTCTAGAATGGCTAACGACTCCCCAACATAAACATAGAACTACTACCTAACTAAGGGGTCAAGCACCACTTACTGTCTTACTGGTAGCTACCTGACTGCAAAAACTATAAACAGCAGATTTTAGAATAGGATAGAAAAATATAACCGACAAAGCATTATCATATCACACCTGTTTTGTTTTGAAGTAGTGTTGTAAACAAATTATAATATATCTTACAAGAATCTAGCTTAAATTAAATTTGAAATACTGGAAACAATTTTAAAAACTATATGATTTCTACTTACTAGATATCGCCTTCATGCATTTCTTCCCACACGGAGTTTTGCAACATCTCATGTTACTGCCACAGTCTCCATCTTCATTGCAGTCCGCCATCTTGGTGAAGTTAGGGAAGTGCATTGCTGGACAATTCTCTCCCTGTGTGCAACCTTCATGTTTTGCAAAGCCACCATTCTTCTTTAGCTCCTCTTTCATCCTTTTTTTAACTTCTGGGTGAGTTTTCATATATTTGAAAGGGCACATCCCGATTTTCTTGTCAGTCTCAGTGATTTCTGATGGATCAAGGACAGTCAGTTTATTAGCAATAAGCATTTCCACATTTGTCAATGGGCTGTCCTTGCTAATGCCTTCCTGATTCAAACCTTCTCACTCATATGTAAACCCTTCCGTTTGTACATTTACACACATACCTTCTTCGTGTTCAGCTGATTCTGCACTTGCATTGTTTTCATCCTTTTGTTCAGCCAGTCTTTTGGCATCCTTATCTAAAAACAAAAGAAATAAAAAGTGATAGTCCACTTATAAAGGCATTTATACGGGGCCCAAAAAAACCCTAGAATAAATGTTATCAATTGCTGTCTAAAAGGCATAGTCTAGGACTGGGCACAAAATGTGTGACATTTTTGTCTAACTCATTTTCTGTATTTATTGAATGCCCCATTTTATTGAGATTGTACAAAAAAAGTTTTTCGTTATTCTACACCTTAACGGGACACTGTAGGCACTGTATCTGCTTCATCTTTAATATCCTCATGTACTTTCATAACACAGTGGATAGTAATCACTTCGACATTGGATTATACTTGTTGTCAGCTCGTGCTGTGCAGGTCGCTGTGATCTTAGATAATAAATCAAATAGAATGGTGGTGTGCTGCACATAAGTCTATGGGTACACTGGAGCTCTGTGGTGAAGGTCAACAAGCCACCAATATCAATCACAATTAGAAATCAACAGGCATCACAATGTAGGGTGCAGAATAAGACAATGTATTGTGGTCCAAAGGACAAAATAAAGATACAACGTTTCAGAATTACGGCCAAAATGTTAATACATTGATACATGACTAAGGCCTTATGGCCAACACGTTGTATCTTTATTTTGTCCTTTGGACCACAATAAAATGTCTTATTCTGCAATCCACATTGTGATGCCTGTGTATTTTTACTTGTGCTAGATAATACATTATCTTAAAATTATGATACACTCATAACAAAAGACAACTTCTCACACCTTCATTGTTGTGGGTGTTGGATTAAATCTTATGTCAATACCTTGGAGTTTGTAGACCAAGTAAATGTTATAGGCCAATTGGCTCTGAACCCATTTGCCAACTGAGAATGGATTAAAAGCCACATATCACTGAATGTATAAAAAGTAAGAAATGAAGCATTAAAGATGGCAAATTGAATTTGTAAAAAAGTGTCCATATTTATTTAATGAGATGTATATTTAAGGAGTTAACTTACCAAACATTGGCTTCATACACTTCATACCACAGGGTGAGCTGCAGCACATCAGGTTGCCCTCGCAGGTTCCGTTGGCACCACAGTCAGGCAATTTACTGAAATCTGGGAAATGGCGACGCTTTCCATTTTTACTTCTGTGGTATTTTCGTGCCTCTGGATACTTTTTTAAAAAGTCTGACAGACACATCCCCTTTTCTTCATTTTCTGCATTATCAGATTCTAAAAGCAACAATAGGAGCACACTTAAAACCCAACTTACGTTGTTTTAGATTATGGACAATTATAGATTGACATTTTAAAACAGTTTAAATAAGGAGAACTTCCATCTTTTTCCTTTACATGCACTTTCTGTGTGATACTTTTATTTTGCGCACTGGGCGAATGCCCTAGCTTTGTTTTTCTCTCTAACAATATGTCATGCCCCCTTTCTGCTACACTCACTACCTTTTTTGCTTTCCCAGGTTACATACAAGGAGCTTCTGCCTGCTAGTAAGATGGGAAGGCGAGGAGTGGGCAAGTGCGTGCTAAGGAGGGGATTCAGAGTTTGTAATTAGTGAAAGAGAGGAGTAGAGAGCTGTAGGGCTTGTAAGATGGACATATTGATATTAATAGACTGAATAGAGAGATTAGCATAGGATATGTGCAATCTTATAAATAAAGAAAGTGAGTTTTGTTACTGCATCAACTCTTCCAGATCAGGGCCAGCATAACCACTAGGTAGATCAGGCAGCCCCCTAAGAAGCATTGGTCCTGGGGTTGCAGTCTCTGGGTTACCAGCAGGAGGAGAGTGCACAGCATAGCACTCCATTCCTGCCAGTCACAGCATGCAGTGTGACCGAGCTGCAGACCACAATAAAGGAGCTTCTGTATCTACCCGGTCTCACAGGAAGTGCTCACTGAGAGCACTGAACTGTTTCCTGTCAGTCCAGATAGAGGGTACAGGAGCCTCTCTACCATGGTCGGGGCTTGACATCACTGTAAGGAGAAGGAAGTTTGCTGGCATAGGGGAGAGGGTGAGGGGCACATAAAGCTAAAGGGGTAGAGGAACACAGAGGGCTGAGGGGAGGGAGGCACACAGAGGGTTGGGGGAGTGGGAGAGGCACACAGCGTTAAGAGAGGGGAAGAGGCACATAGAGGGGCTGAGGATGAGAAAAAAGATACACACAAAGGGGTTTGTGGGAACAAAGAGACACACACAGGGGCTTGGAGGTACAAAAAAGATACACGGATAGGCTTGGGGATAAAGAGACTCACTAAGGAGTTGAGGAGAAAGTTGCTGGTCTAGCCTGGGGCGCAAAATAGTCTCGCACTGGCCCTGCACCAGATACAAAACACTAGGGAGGTATGACTTTTTAGTGTTCTCTGACTATAAGTCACCAGGCCCAATAAGCTCTTTTCTGCTCATGGACAAATACTGCGCCATGAGAAACCTTCATGAACTGGAATTTATTAATGTGTTAAAAAATACCTAGAATATTAAACTAGAACTAGGATTTAATTCACTTAAGGAAACTTATTATATTCCTTCATTTAATTTGAAAGCCTAATGTCTTACCTTCTGTGAGAACACAGGCTACTGCAATGAACAGCAGCCCACAGAGAATTTCAATCTTCATAATGCCAAGGACCACAAGGACCAGTGAGTGAGAATGGAGAAGAGGGTTCTGCTCAAAATCCTCAGCCAAAGAGCTTTTATTTATACCAAATTTAAGAATGCCTGTGCCAGCTATAATATGTACAAATTATATATTATCAAATTATTGTGGTTCAAAGATTCTAAATTCAAATGGGATTATTGCTAATCTTTTAATTTAACTGATATGGTTATCTGTGCAACGTGATATGCATCATCGATATGAATCTAAATGTCATCTGGCGAAGGGCAGATTTAAAAAATACAAAACATGCAATTAAAGGTGTTCTTTGTGTGTCTATAGGTCAACTGTAGTTTCTTCTTATGCTGTATACGTATAGATATATTCATATACACTTTCTAAAACAATAAAAAGCAAAATAAATAACTGCTGAAAACATGCAGCGCAGGCTGTAGTTGGCCCATGTTTAGTGTATTAAATTGGGGGGAGAAAGATGGCAATGCATTAGAGAAGGGGGTCAGGGGGTAGGCAACCTATGGCACGTGTGCCATACACGGCACTCAAGGTGCCTTTGTACGGCACTCAAGGCTACCAGAGTCAAACTGGGTCTGACCTATCATGAGTCCCAGTGAAACTTCAGATATCTGCTAATACGAAAAGGTGGTGAAGGAAAATCCTCAATTTATGCTTTGCAGCATTTGTGAATGGGAATCCACACTGGAGTGCAGCAGCCCGCATCTGCTGTTGCAGCTCCTTCCTTGACCAGTACTTGGCCATCATGGTCCACATTCATAGGGACACGATACCACAATACCACAAACTACTCGTGAACATGTACAGCAAGCATGCCAAACTCAAAGTCTAGCATGGGCCACATGAACAAGGTTTAAGTTTATGTGGGCCGCAAAGAAAACAAAACCTTAAATTTTCATAGAAATGTAGGTTTGTTTTGAAAAGTACAGTATATATATATATATAAAAAAAACACAAACAAACAGCATCCCCCTCTACTAAACACCAGTCCCTCCCCCTGTACTAAATCCCAGCTCCCCTCCCCCATCTATACTAAATCCCAGCAACCCCCTCTATTAAACTCCAGCCCTTGTTTAAAAAAACAAAAACAAACAATATTAGCTAACAAGCAGACTCCACTCACATTGCTGCTGCCAGTATGCGACTCCGGAGTCCGGGCTCTGGTGAACCCCCAATGGCGCCGTCCGCATCCAAACAAATCCTCCTGCAACTCCTTAAAAACCTGTGACGTCAGAATGTGATGTGGTGTTGCGTGCCTCCGTGCACCTCCATGTCCTCTACTGTCCAGCCACGGCCATCGCAACACTGACCAACACACACTGACAGACACACACACACTCTCTGACAGACACACTCACTGGCAGACAGACAGACACACACACACACACACACACACATTCTTGCACACACTCACATCATTTTATTTAATGCTCCCTACCTTTGGGAGCTGGTGTGGGGCCTCTCCCTGATCTTCTCTCTGGAGCTCAGTCTTCCTGTTCACTCACACATGCAGTTTAGTGATGCCGGAATTATGTCATATTCCAGGACCAGGCATCACAACATCAGTGAGGAGCATGAAGACTGAACTTTCTCGCTGCCTCCAGGGACCTCTCAGGCCAGGTAATTTTGGCAGAGTAGGCACCTGCAATGTGAAGAAATCAGGTGCCTAATCTGATTTAGTAAGCATGGCAAACTCGCGGCTCGCAAAAATATTAATTGTGGGACGCGATTTTGACATGCTTGATGTACAATATTTTAGCTCATCTACTCCCAAATACAACGATACAAAGCAACTGCAGTATAAATAACACAAGCAGAATACGGCAACATCTTCGTCCCCTCATTTTCATGTTTTGGTATACAATATGCTAATATGGTTCGTTTATTTTATTGGGTCAAAACATCTGCTTGTATTGGTGTTGAATTATGATGGATGAGAAGATAATTTCCTTAAATGTAAAAGGCCTTAATTCACCTGCTAAAAGGAAGATAATGTTTAAGGAATTAAAGAGAAAGCAGGCGGACATAGTTTTTTTGCAAGAAACTCATCTTAACAGATCTCATATATTATCCTTGACAGATAAATGGTATGATAGAGCGTATTGTTCGAATGCTATTCAAAAACATAATGGAGTAGCTATTTTGTTCCATAAAAGATGTCAGTTTAAGGTCTTAAATTCCATTCAGGATAAAGAAGGAAGATATATCTTAGTGTCTGGAATAATGGGCACCCGTAAGCTTCATTTAATGAATATATATGCCCCAAATATCCCAGATAATAGATTTTGTGATACGATAGGACAAATTATTGATTCCATAGCGTTTGATTGTGTCTTGATAGGTGGGGACTGTAACGCGGTTTCTTGTCCAGCAATAGATAGAAGTCATAAGCCGGGAACATTGCGATCCCAGGGAAGGGGAGGACAAGATAAACAGTTTTTTCAGTTTATGATAACTCATAAACTTATTGATATACAGGGAGTGCAGAATTATTAGGCAAGTTGTATTTTTGAGGATTAATTTTATTATTGAACAACAACCATGTTCTCAATGAACCCAAAAAACTCATTAATATCAAAGCTGAATATTTTTGGAAGTAGTTTTTAGTTTGTTTTTAGTTATAGCTATGTTAGGGGGATATCTGTGTGTGCAGGTGACTATTACTGTGCATAATTATTAGGCAACTTAACAAAAAACAAATATATACCCATTTCAATTATTTATTATTACCAGTGAAACCAATATAACATCTCAACATTCACAAATATACATTTCTGACATTCAAAAACAAAACAAAAACAAATCAGTGACCAATATAGCCACCTTTCTTTGCAAGGACACTCAAAAGCCTGCCATCCATGGATTCTGTCAGTGTTTTGATCTGTTCACCATCAACATTGCGTGCAGCAGCAACCACAGCCTCCCAGACACTGTTCAGAGAGGTGTACTGTTTTCCCTCCTTGTAAATCTCACATTTGATGATGGACCACAGGTTCTCAATGGGGTTCAGATCAGGTGAACAAGGAGGCCATGTCATTAGATTTTCTTCTTTTATACCCTTTCTTGCCAGCCACGCTGTGGAGTACTTGGACGCGTGTGATGGAGCATTGTCCTGCATGAAAATCATGTTTTTCTTGAAGGATGCAGACTTCTTCCTGTACCACTGCTTGAAGAAGGTGTCTTCCAGGAACTGGCAGTAGGACTGGGAGTTGAGCTTGACTCCATCCTCAACCCGAAAAGGCCCCACAAGCTCATCTTTGATGATACCAGCCCAAACCAGTACTCCACCTCCACCTTGCTGGCGTCTGAGTCGGACTGGAGCTCTCTGCCCTTTACCAATCCAGCCACGGGCCCATCCATCTGGCCCATCAAGACTCACTCTCATTTCATCAGTCCATAAAACCTTAGAAAAATCAGTCTTGAGATATTTCTTGGCCCAGTCTTGACGTTTCAGCTTGTGTGTCTTGTTCAGTGGTGGTCGTCTTTCAGCCTTTCTTACCTTGGCCATGTCTCTGAGTATTGCACACCTTGTGCTTTTGGGCACTCCAGTGATGTTGCAGCTCTGAAATATGGCCAAACTGGTGGCAAGTGGCATCGTGGCAGCTGCACGCTTGACTTTTCTCAGTTCATGGGCAGTTATTTTGCGCCTTGGTTTTTCCACACGCTTCTTGCGACCCTGTTGACTATTTTGAATGAAACGCTTGATTGTTCGATGATCACGCTTCAGAAGCTTTGCAATTTTAAGAGTGCTGCATCCCTCTGCAAGATATCTCACTATTTTTGACTTTTCTGAGCCTGTCAAGTCCTTCTTTTGACCCATTTTGCCAAAGGAAAGGAAGTTGCCTAATAATTATGCACACCTGATATAGGGTGTTGATGTCATTAGACCACACCCCTTCTCATTACAGAGATGCACATCACCTAATATGCTTAATTGGTAGTAGGCTTTCGAGCCTATACAGCTTGGAGTAAGACAACATGCATAAAGAGGATGATGTGGTCAAAATACTCATTTGCCTAATAATTCTGCACTCCCTGTATGGAAGGCTCAACATCCTGACACACTTGATTATACCTTTTATTCGCATCCACATGATACGTATTCTAGAATAGATATGTTTTTGACCAATTTAACACTTTCTCCCTATTTATATAGCTCACAAATTAACAATATTACGTGGTCAGATCATGCAGATATCATTGTACATATAAAAGGATTATCAGTTAAACCCAATTTTTCTTGGCGATTAAATACTTCTCTCTTGGAAGATCCCATAGTGAGATCAGATATTACAAAGGCATTGTTAAATTATTTTTCTGAAAATAATACGACTGAAATTAGCAAAACCACTTTATGGGCAGCACATAAAACTGTAATTAGGGGAGAATTGATCAAAATAGCCTCATATAAGAAAAAGATTAAATCACAATCATTATTTGAGTTACAAAAAGGTTTACGTAAGCTGGAACAAAAACATAAAACAGTTCCCACTGAACAAACGCTATATGATTTAAAAGCATGTAGATTAAAGATTAAAAAGCTTTTGTTAGATGAAGCAGTATGGCAGTTAAAAAAATCATGTAGATATTTTTATGAGAAAGCTAATAAAATAGACGCCCCTTTGGCCAGATGCTTAAAACCACGAACACATTTTAATCCCATCTCATCCATTAGAAACGCTTCAGGGTCATTAGTATCATCACCAGAGGATGTTTATGGAGTATTTCGGGAATATTTTTCTAGATTATATAGTCAATTTAAAAATGAGAATATAGAAGGTACAGATCAGGAGATAAGACTGAGAGAATTTTTGAATAAGATAAATTTACCCCAAATCCCTAAAAATGCCTTAGAAGGATTAGGGACCAAAATATCTTTAGAGGAAATTAAAGCGGCATGCTTTTCTATTAAGGGGGGTAAAGCACCAGGGCCAGATGGCTTTAGTAGTAGTTATTATAAAATATTTCAACACACTCTTATGCCATATTTACAAGAGGTCATAGATGAAATTTGTCAAAGCGGAGTTCTTCCAGCCGACCTTACAATGGCTAAAATTGTTCTTTTACCAAAAAAAGATAAGGACCCTTCTTCAGTGGGAAATTATAGGCCTATATCATTAATAAATG